GAAGAAGAAGCGATCACTGGAACAAGAGGTTTATTGTGCTGACGTTTCGGATCCCCTCGGGAATCCTTAATCATAGGTAATGAAAGAACAGTCTGAGACATGCGCAGATAGGGTCGCCCGATAAAGAAAATGCAAAGACATATTACACCATAAAGTTCATAAGTTTTGCAGAAAAATGAATATGTCTACCAAAACGATGGCGAAGAAGTGTTGATTAGAGGTGTGGGTTGGGTAGGCGAGGGTGATGGGTGAGTGGCCCTGACTGGGATGGATGAATCGGGTGTCAAGGGTGCAGAGAGAATGGCTGGTCCAACGGGCGGGGAGTTCCTACAAATTATGCTGGCTTAAGTCTGTCGATGTAGATCGTGTCGGCTTTTTCAGACTTCTGAATGACGTAATATTTTTCCCTCCGTCGAACCACTCTATAGGAACTATCATACGATGAGCAAAAAATACTGCGAACGGCGTCGTGGCAGAAGAAAGGAAGGAGGCTGATTTTAGATCGTCGTGCATAAACACACGCCTGGGCGTAAAATGGGTACGGGTTGGACGAAATTGGGCTATACGATGCTTCTTTTGTTACACGAAGGTATTCTGCACGTTGGAGTTGACAGAGGAGGGTTGAACAAATTCACCGGGCAGGCCAATGGTTGTACCGTAAACAAGCTCGGAGACGGTGCAATGAATATTCTCCTTGACGGCTGAGAAAATACATAAGTCTACGAGTGGCAGACACTCGCGCCAAGACGCATGGTTGGGATGAGACATAAGCGCGGAGTTGAGTTGACGGTGCAAATGCGCCACAAGGCCGTTGAAAACGGTACACTATGCAGTGGTTGTGATGTTCGTACAACCATGGAGTTTGGTGAACGCACGAAAGAGGTTTGATTGAAATTTGCTCCCCTGATCATTCGAAATAGTATATGGAACACCAAAATTGGAAATCCACCTGGTCAGGAAAGCTAAGGCAAAATATTGTCTGCTGCGGTATCCGAGATAGGGACTAAGATCGGTCATAGTGTGGAGCGGTCAGAATGTCGGTGTAGTTGCGCAACTCTGGGTAACAATCCAACTAAGCCCAGGTAGACATGGCGAAAAGGGGGTGAAAATGGGGGTGAACATTTATGGGGTGGAGTTTGTTCTTTTGGCGGGAAAGCGCTGCCTCGCCTAAGTGCAGTGTCAGCATTTAACTTCGGCCAGACGAAACGCGCACCGATAAGCTTACGATGAGCGCGAACACCGGCGTGTGACAAGGAGTGAAACTTATCACACACGACCAAACGGTAAGACAGGGGAAACACAGGACGGGGGGAACCTTTGGACCAGATGCACTAGACCTTTCCTGTGGGTGCTGGAATTGGTGCATCATTAAGCTGTGGCGAGGAAGTCATGCACATCTCAATGATGGACACGTCATGATATTGGAGGTCTGCAAGCTTCCCCAGGTCGCACTCAGCTGTAAGGGTATTGGTCTCCGGTTGGGATAGGGCATCAGCCACAACATCGTTGTTGACTTGGACATGGCGGATATCTGCAATATGCTGTAAGATATAGTCTAAATGACGTACTTCTCTGGCGAACACCCGTCTGGCTTAGCCTTGAGGGTATAAGTGACAGGTTTGTGATCAGTATGGACAAGAAAAAGTAATGCAAAATTAGGGGAGGTCATGACTTAACAACCGTAAACCACAGTGTTCAACAAAATGATTGAAAACTGAAAAAAACGACAATGAAGCAAAAGAAGGTACAGACTCACGAATGTCCATTTCTAACAGCCGTTGTAGACAGAGTTTTAGAAAGATCCCTCGAGAGCTCCAGCAATACAGCGATTGTAGGAGGATTTTGAAAAAAAGGAGCAATTGAAGAAAACGATCGCCATAGATGACGCTAATGCGGGTGAATCCCACATGATGGCGAAACACTCGTAAATGTCCTTTTGTTGTACGTCGAAGTTGACAAGTGTGTTCTATTAGTTAACCGAAAAAAACATAGAAGTTAATGTGGCAAAGGTACACGCCAAAAGTGAAGCTGTACAAAGACCTACAAGATGATTTTTATTGCCATGCGTTGCTGCAAATTACAACGTACGTCATTGATATTCATTGTGACACTCAAGTCGGTCGTCAGCAATAGTATCTTGAGATTTTGCATAGACTTCTAAGCAGACTGGATATCTTTTTTCCATCTAGGTTATTGATAACAATGTGGATTAACGATATGATATACGGGAAAAAGAAGGCGACTGCCAAAGCTTTAAAACATGAACCCACGGCTCCCTATTTTATTGTTTAAAACAGCACAAATTTAGACGTGGGCTTCTGAATATTTTTTTACATTATTAACCACAAGCTGCTCCTAGCGATGTCCCGTCCGCCCAGTGGCGGTCAGACGCCCAGTAGAAGTCGACACGAGAGTATGAGTAACGATCAGTGCGTAATCGTCTACAGAGAAGGCAACAAGGTTAATTTCTGGACTCTCTTGTCCGTTTTCATAATAATTATGTTTTGTACCCCTAACAGCAAGCCGATAACATGTAGATAGCGTACTCTCGCTATTCGTACGCCGCGTTGATACCGTTTTCATGTTAAAGATTGCTATAGACACGATACCCAATTCTCGAGATTCCTGGAAAGGGGAACTTTTACCATTGATTAATAGAGATAAAACCAAGTTTGATAATAACGATCGATTTATTTGTCCTTTGCTGGAAGTTTTATCTCGGTAATTATGTATTTCTGTAAACGGCCCAACCACACTCATGTTCCTAGTGTTGTACGGCACGTGCGTGCAATCATATAAGGTGAAGGCGTATTCATATTAAGGCGAGAGGTGGATTAAAAATAGAGAAAAAATGTACATGTGCGCAACGAAGTGCGTTATTGCTAATTGGTAGAGGATGTCATTGTTGCCTGTGACTAATATGCGGTGGACGACGAGGGTATGAGATTTACAGACGAAAAGTGATTATCAAGTTATATTAGACCTAGACTCACCGGTCGTATATACGGCCGTATACACTATATACTATATACTGTGTTGTGCGCACTTCACTTTTGCACACTACTATTTTTTAGTACTCTGAAACGTATTAAATTCTGTCTTTTATGCTCTCTTTCCGACTTAACCGCTAAAATACATATATATATGTATTTTGGCGCCAGGTTGTTTTGAAGTAGGGTCACCGACCATAGAGCAGGGACTCCCAGAACGTTAGGCATTAAGTTATTTAACTCAAAACTTTGCATGGGCACGCATCCAATGTGTGCTTCCGGGTGTGCGAAAGTTAGGCTATTCGCACCGGCCCGCGACCATAGCAACTTCCGAACCACCGTAGTCGGCAACTTCATAGTAAAATGTTACATGAAAAGGTTAAGCTATGAGATAGTTCACGACCTTACCTTGTTCACTTTTTGCCATCAAACCTAAAAAAAAACGTGTGCAAAGTTTGCCCTTGCTTATTATAGACCGACTGAGCCATTTACTTCCTTCCCCTCACATTTCATCAATAAACATCAGTTTTCACTCAGAATGCTGCGCATTCCGCTCGTGGAAATTTAGTCGGTAGTTACTTAATTATCGTTTATTTTGCGGTATTAATGCATCTAGCCTGCTGTCCAATTTGTTTGATCTACTCCGCACAATTAACTGCTGGAACAGAGTACAAACTGTTACCCTAAAGTGCCCGTCTATAAGTTAACATAAGACTAGGGTTTACTTGCTCTCAATTGTAGTATGGTATTTATTACGAAGGAGTATACGATATTAAATTTTAAGTCATACAGAATATTGCTCAAGTTATCGATAAGTAAAGTGGTTAGGGGGCGGAGAAGTAAGAAATACCAAGAGCTTGGCAAAACGGCAAATATTGTTACTCATGTAGTGCGCAACACGTGACAAAAGTCAGCTTAACGAGTGGCAGTACAGTGAGTAAACCTTCTTTTGAAGAAGCGGGTGCTAGCAAGAAGGGCACAACGGTATAACAATTTCCGCAAACCTTCAGTAATATATTTGAGAATTTGGGATAGAAGCATTGACGGACATCCTAGATAGTAATAACCATAAATATCTGAATAATCTTCCCTTTACTCCCGTTATTTTTAATCTTCTGTTGATATCTAGATGACATCCTGAATATCGCCACGAATTTACGTTAAAAACTATCAGCGCGTGCTTGGCGCGTTGATGATACTGTTTTTTTTTATGAAGCCAGCTCCGGATTTCTTATGCCGATTACACGAACGAGTGATCACGTAGATATGTCATGCAAAACTCCCTAAGGCATTATAGTCGACCTGCTTATGTTACTGCACTGGTCCACAAAGACCACCAGAACTACTCGCATATCTGAGCCAAATTCCTTGCTGTTCGTTTGCCCTGGGTCGTGTTCTTACTGAACCGCTACATATTTGTACGTGCAGTAACCTTTTTGCAATTTAAGAACAAGTCGTGAACTTTGTGACGTAACTGTTTCGGTACGTTTAGCCACCTATGCCTGAAAACAGTTTTACATTTTCTTAGTAATTAAAAACCTAACGCAAAGGTTAACCATTTAAATAATTGCTGGAAATGTTTGCTATCGAGAACCGCCATGCCACAGTAAATGAATGTATTATACTCTTTTCAATATGGCAACCTATTTAAGAATCTCCGTCGACTTTCATGAATTTTCGTGCTTTCTTCTTACTAATTTTCCCCAAAACGAAAAAAAAATAGGTGCATCAAAATGTTGGTAGAGTGTGATTGTATCCACTTAAATAGCTGGCAATCTTATAACTAAGCTCCTGAATTTCATGACATTCAAAAATTCCCCATCATGTTTTATTCGAAAATGTCTTCCTTACCTATATCTTTTTAGTGCGATTTCACTCATAGAAACTTACCTCTTTGCTCGCCTTTAGTCGATCGATTCTCCATCGCCCTTTTTCATGGAATCAATATGTAAGTTCCTCTGCACCGGTTGATGCCCTAAAACTCCTTAGCCGATACAAATCAGGCCTACCGCATTTTTCTCAAACACCACACCTGCTACGATTTGGTTCCCCTCAGTGCCAAACTCAT